TACCAATCCCCACCTGTTGGCAGCAGCTGTCTGGCGGCATGGGGTGGCAGAGGAGAGTGAGGTGGGGTGGAGGCTCCCACACCGTCTTCAGAAGCTCATGTGGATGTGGGGGCAGTGAGTCTCAAAAAGGTTCTCTTCAAAGGACTGTGGGGAGCACCAGACCGAGCCTGTTGTCTTAGGTGAGCAGCTGTCACACTTTAGTGGGCAAGAATCAGCTGGAGAGTTTAGGAAACTTGCAGATTTCTGGGCCCCACCCAGCCCCACATAATCCAAATGTCTGAAGGGGCCCCCAGCATTTGCATTTCATGTACCCCATAGCCGTGGACCACATTCCCGGGTGCTGTCCACCTCTGCTGAGCTGCTGGGCGTCAGTGGAGAAAAGCACTGGCTGGCACCTGGTGTGGGGTGCGCTCCCTTACTTGACCTTGAGGCCTCGAGCAAGTCACTTCTCTTCTCGGGGTCTCTTAATTCCAAAACTGGGACAACCACAGAACCTATCCCAGAGGCTTGTTCTGAGGATTAGGATTAAAAGCGAATTGAGCATTTAGTTTAATCTAAATGCACATCAAGCTTTCTGCCCAGTGCAGGAGACATTTGCAATCCTGGATCCATGTTGACTGTCCTTGACATCTAGCAGGGAAGAGGAAGAAGAAAGGAGCCACACTGGGTTATAAAGCCCCATTTTCCTCCTCACTCCCTACCAGTGGTGGCAACTGTGGAAAGAAGGAGATAGTAGCATCTGTCAGTGCTAAAAAAAGATCCATCCACTTAAGCACTTGGCCCATGAGTCAGCCCACTTTGTTTGTCTATCACCCACAGCCATTGTCAGGCACCTGCTAGGGGCTCTGGCCCACAGAAGACACAGGCATGCCTTGCTTCAGGTCCCATCCCCCAAGGAACCTGTAGTCTGGTGGAGTCCTGTATTAGTCTGTTCTGACATTGCTTTAAAGAACTGCCTAATACTGGGTAATTTATAAAGGAAAGAGCTTTAATTGACTTAGTTCCACATGGCTTGGGAGGCCTCAGGAAACTTGCAATCATGGCAGAAAGGGAAGCAAGAACCTTCTTCGCATGGTGGAAGAGAGAGAAAAGAGTCAGCAGGAGCAGGGAAAACTGTCTTATAAAACCATCAGATCTCATGAGAACTCATTCATTATCACAAGAACAGCGTGGGGAAAACTGCCCCCATGATCCACCTGGTCTCTCTCTCTACACATGGGGATTACAGGAATTACAGTTGGGATGAGATTTGGGTGGGGACACAGAGCCACACCATATCCTGTCAGAGGTAAGGACGCCTGGAAATGTACCACACAGCGTATGTCGCAAGTGCCGCCTGAGTGCCTGAAACAAAACGCTGCAGGATGCCAAGCGGGGCTCAGAGTTCCTGGCATTAGAGTTTGGATTAAAGGCTGGGCAGAAGGATTGCCATGGGCAGAGATAGTAGAGAATGGGAAAGAACTAGTTTATAATAAAGGAAATGGGCTGGAATCAGGCTGCCAAGCTGGCAGTCCACTTCTGCAACTTCTCAGCTGAGTACTGGTGGGCAAGTTCCTCAAACTCTTTGAGCCTCAGCTTCCTCATCTGTAAAATGGGGATCATCACAGTATATATGTCACAGAATTATTAGGAGAATTTTAATAGGTAAACTAAGTGATAGGTAAGGTTCTAGCACATAGTAGGTGCTCCATAAATGTGAGCCTTCATCAACATCACTCATCAAAATGTATCTTTGCGACACTGCACCAGGGACCCCGGGTACATCGTTGACCTTCTTCAGATGGTGTGAGCAGCAACAGGGATGAGGCTGCTGTCAGAATCAGCCCTTGTGGGCCCCCCAGCCTGTGCTTAGGCCTAGCGTGACACCCCTACTCAGAGACAACAACCTGTGTCTCCTGGGCAATCTTCACCCTGCAGAACCATCAAGGGGAGGGGAGGGCTGAATAGTGTGGCCACTACTTTTGAGTCTTTTGTGATTTGGTTCATCTTTAATCCCACTGAGCTGGATTTTCAGAAACAGGGCCTCTGACCCTGTATTATCAGTGGAGTGACTTTCAACAAGTTACTTAAATTTTTTGAAATTCAATTTCCTCATCTAGGAAGTGGGAATAATGATAGAGCAAATCTAAAGAGCAGATGTGAAGATTAAATGTGACGACTGACAAGTAAATGTGTGGCACAGTGCCCGCCGCATGGAAGCCTTGGTAAAGCTAGCATCTGGGTGACCGTGAGGCTGCTCACTCAGCATCTGTTGTCCTGGTCTCCACCATCCACAGGTGGACCCAAACTCCCACACAGAGCAAGCAGCCACAATGAATCATAAAACAAATAACTATCCTTCAATTAGCTAGTTACAAGCATTCTTTCTTTTGTGTGTTTTTTTGAGGCAGGCCTTACTCTGTCACCCAGGCTGAAGTGTAGTGGCACAATCTTGGCTCACTGCAGCCTCCACTTCCTGGGTTCAAGTGATTCTAGTGCCTTAGTCTCCCAAGTAGCTGGGATTACAGGCGCCCACCACCATATCCAGCTCTTTTTTTTTTTTTTTTTTTGTATTTTTAGTAGAGACAGGATTTCACCACATTGGCCAGGCTGGTCTCGAACGCCTGATCTCAGGTGATCTGCCCACTTCTGCCTCCCAAAGTGCTGGGATTACAAGCATGAGCCACCACACCCAGCCTAGTTACAAGGATTCCAAAGAGAATATTTTCAGCCATTCTAATCTTGCAGTTAAACTTGCCTGAATTGTGAATTATGTTAATTATCTTCTAATTATTCCCCCTCTTGAGATTCAGGAATCTTGGGGGACACTTGAATAATCTCCTGAAAGAGGAGTACAGAATCCCCTTCTAAGCCCACATAACCAGGGCTGCCTTCATTGCCTGCCATGCCTCTGCTTCACTGCCAGCTCTGCTCATTAATACAAAGTATTAGTGGTCCCAGCAGTTCCACTGGTAGGAATTTATTCTACTGATATGCTCACCTAGGTGTGCAAGGATATGCATGAGGAGGTTCATTCCCCCAGTTGCCACCTCTCAACAGGGATATAAATATAAAATGGTCATTTTCAACAAACGTCACCAGCAGTGCTCTGGCCAGTTCCTCTTTCTTGCTGGGGCAGGGACACCTTTAATGATACCTATGTCTGATTTATAGAACTTTCCAGTCACTTTTTGGTTATGCCTGCTTATTTTTTTTTTCTTTTTAAAATTTTTTTTGTATTTGTAGTACAGACAGGGTTTCACAGTGTTAGCCAGACTGGTCTCAATCTCCTGACCTTGTGATCCACCCGCCTCGGCCCCACAAAGTGCTGGGATTACAGGAGTGAGCCACCGCACCTGGCCATGCCTGCCTATTTTACAATGTCAATCTCGTAGTCAGTTCAAAGCTTCCCCTGCCCAAGGCATAGGATGGGTTTGTGGTGCTGGAGCTGGGAGGGGGACAGAGGAGGATGGGGCTGCTCTGCCAGTGGCCTGGTGTCCCACAAGGACAAGGAACTTGCATGATTGCCCATATGAGGTGGTTAACCCCTTCTGTTGGTCATTGCCTCTGATTTCTCTGTGGCTGGTGGTGATACCAACAGGCCCTATTGATGAGGGGATCATATTCAAGCAGCACCCACTCCCACGAGGCATGGGCGGGCCCTTCCCACACTCAGCTTCATTTTCAGGTTGGCTCCCAACAGCAGCTGCCCCAGCAAATGAGCAGCCTCCGATCCATCATTCTTCCTTAACCTCTGACTCAGAGGCCTGCAGGCAAGACTAGGATCCATTTTCTCCTGCTCCTGCAAAAGGAAAGGAACCCAGGGTGGGGTCCAGTGCTCTTGTCTGCCTGGTCTGCCACACCGGTATGCCATCTCCCATTCAACAACCTGTAGGGGAGTGATATGGTTTGGCTGTGTCCCCACCCAAATCTCATCTTGAATTGAAGTTCCCATAATCCCCACACGTCATGGGAGGAACCCAGTGGGAGGTAATTGAATCATGGGGCTGGTTTCCCCCAGGCTATTCTGCTGATAGTTAAGTTTTCATGAAATCTGATGGTTTTATAAGGGTCTTCCCCCTTCGCTTGGTTCTCATCTTCTCTTTCCTGCCACCATGTGAAGAAGGACACATTTGCTTCTCCTTCTGCCATGATTGTAAGTTTCCTGAGGCCTCCCCAGCCCTGCAGAACTGTGAGACAATTAAACCTCTTTCCTTTATAAATTATCCAGTCTTGGGTATGTCCTTACAGCAGCATGAGAACAGACTAATATAGGGAGAGAGAAGAAGAGTATGCACACTGCTACTTCAGCCACTACCTCCCTAAACAAGGCCAAAGAAATAAAACACTCCTCAGTAGGGGCTGGATAAATTGCAACCACCATTTATAGACGATAACAAGAGTCAGGTGCCCTCTCTGTGCAAGTATGGCCCCAGCACCATGATATACTGCTAGGTGAAAAAGGAGCAAGGCCCACAGTGTGATGCGCGGTGTAGGCCCATCTGTGTACCCAGCAAAAGAGCAGATGTGTGCAGTCCCACAGCCAGGAATATTGTGTGTGGCAGTGGTACATTTCCAGAAGGCCATATGGGAAAGTACTCACTTTGGTCACCTCTGGGAGTGGAAACAGAGAGAACAGAAGGCTGGAGACCTGATGTTCTTTATTTGCTCCCCATCAGTATAGCATTGTCTGAGTTTGTACCCTGAGCACGTTGTGCTTGCACCAATGAATGACTCACCTCTTTTAAAAAAATAACAGGGAAGATGTCCCTCTTCTAGACCACCTGACTCAGGCTTTTCACTTCCCCTCATAACCCTGTTTACAGGGTAGGTGATTTTTTGCTTTATTTCTAAGGAGTCCAGCCAGGGGCCCTGTTCTCCAGTGCATCCTAATCTCGGGCATGCAAAGTCCCAGAGGCATGCAGCCTTGGTGTCTTGGGGATGACAGATTCCAACACTTGGGCCCCTAAATCAAAGCCCCCAACATCCCGCAGTCACCTGTGGCTTTTGGTTTTCCACAGATCACAAAGGCATCAAGGAAGAGGCTCACGGTGAGCCTGGCCTATTCGGAGGACCACCAGATCCGCGTGTCCCAGCAGGACTTCCGGCTGTTCCGCACACTCTTCCTGCTCATGATCTCCTTCTTCATCATGTGGAGCCCCATCATCATCACCATCCTCCTCATCCTGATCCAGAACTTCAAGCAGGACCTGGTCATCTGGCCGTCCCTCTTCTTCTGGGTGGTGGCCTTCACATTTGCTAACTCGGCCCTAAACCCCATCCTCTACAACATGACACTGTGTAGGAATGAGTGGAAGAAAATTTTCTGCTGCTTCTGGTTCCCAGAAAAGGGAGCCATTTTAACAGACACATCTGTCAAAAGAAATGACTTGTCAGTTATATCCAACTAACTAGTTTTTCTTTATAGGCTGAGTTTCTCATACCTGGCAAGCTGTGGCATGCTTTTAAACAGAATTCATTTCCAGGACCCTCCACCAGCGTACCCTGCTTTAAGAAAATGAACATATGCAAATAAACATCTACAGCATTGGCAAATTAAGGGATGATCATCCAGTTTCACAATAAAATTCCTTTATAAAAGGATTTGTTAACTGAGTGCAGTGGCTCACACCTGTAATCCCAGCACTTTGGGAAGCTGAGGCAGGTGGATCACCTGAGGTCAGGAGTTTGAGACCAACCTGACCAACATGGTGAAACCATGTCTCTACCAAAAATAGCTGGGCGTGGTGGTGGGCATCTGTAATCCCAGCTACTTGGGAGGCTGAGGCAGGAGAATCGCTTGAACCTGGGAGGCAGAGGTTGCAGTGAGCCAAGATTGTGCCATTGCACTCCAACCAGGGCAACAAAAGCGAAACTCTGTCTAAAAAAAAAAAAAGGATTTGTTATGGGTTCCTTTTAAATGTGAACTTTTTAAGTGTGTTTGTAATATGATCGAATTTAATAAATATTTGTTTATGACTGTTCAGCAATCACATCTCCTACATATAAAGCCACACCATAGTGGCTTCTGAAGTGAGTCTTAAAACTGATTCAGGATGTAGATTTCTCCTATGAAGGGTCACAGACACCCTATCCCCTACCTTGGACTCGTAAGCCTTTAGGATCATTCATTAACGTCAAGAGCAATTGAAGAATTTTCAGGGAACAATTAAAGGCGACTTACTTTTTTTTCATCTATAAAAAATGCCATGGGCCCTTTTAAGAGAATCAGTGTCATGAAATCAGAGAGAAAGTAGAATGACTCTGAAATGTGTGAGAGTGAGTTCAGGAGTGGTTCGCTCCTGATCCATCCAGCAGAGATGCCTCTTAAGCACCAGTGGTGGCAGACAGTATTCTTTGTGCTGGGAATACAGTGGTGAACCAGACAGCTGTGGGCCTCTCTCAGAGCTTACCTTCAAGTCAGGGGCAGAAAAACTAAATAAAAGTCAATAAATTATATCTATATACAGATATATAGATGTATTTGAGATGAGAGTCTTGCTCCAATGCCCAGGCTGGAGTGCAATGGCACGATCATGACTCACTGCAGCCTCAAATGCCTTGGCTCAAGCAGTCTGCCTGCCTCAGCCTCCCGAGTAGCTGGGATTACAAGCAGGAGCCGCCATGCCTGGCTACAAAGCAATACACAGTATAGCATCACAGAGTGACTAAGCACCGTGAAGAAAATGGGACAGGGGGCTGTGGGAGTGATGGGAATTTAGATCAGGTGGAGAGGGGCCTAAGAAGACCTTTCTGAGGAGTGACATTTGGATCAAAAGGTAAGCGACAAGAAAGGGCAACCATGTGAATCGGGGGAACAGGCTTGGCAGAAGAAGAAGTGTTAGTGCGAAGAGGCTGACATGCTTGAAGTGAGGGTGGTGTAAGACTCTTGATGGCGCCTCCTCTGCACCTGGCGCTGCCTTTAATACCCAGCTGGGGCCTGTCAGCTGAGGTCAGAAAAAGTACAGGGCTAGATCACATAGGGCCTAGGAGTTTATTCTGTGCTCCAAGCCCCTGGGAGTTTGCAACTGGATACTGGCATGGCCTAATGAATGTGTGCCAATATTACCCTGGCTGCTGTGCAGGGAATAGACTTTGAGGAGCATGAGTGAAAATGGAGACCAGCTAGGCAGCTGCTGAAGTGGAACAAGGGGATAGGATGTTGGAGGTGAGGCATCAGTGAGGGACTGTGAGAAATGACTTGTAAATATGCTTTGGAAAGGTAAAACAAAGGTGATTTATTGATGGAAAGGATGGAATTGATAGAATGTGAGGGAAAGAAAGGGTTCAAGGGTAATACCCTGATAGTTTAACCTGCCATTGGTTGGATGGTGAAGCAGGCAATAAAAATGGGGGAGCCTGGGAATAGATTAGGGGTGGGGAAGCCAAGAGTTTCATGTGGAGCTCATAAGTTTGAAATCCCAGTGAGCTGTCCAAATTGAATAGGCAGTTGGATGCAGAGAGATGTGGAGCTTAGGGCTGGAGACATTATTTGGAGATATAAATGGTGTTTACAGGCCTATGGTTTTATAAAATACCCCTCGGAGAGATAGAGAGAAACAAGAGCCAAAAATTGAACCTAGGGACACTCCACCACCAACGGCTGGAATGCACAGCAGCGCAGGGCCTTTGTGCTGAGGAGATCGGCACCAGCAGCTGTGACTGCTTGTGCAGTTTCTGGAGCAGCTTGCTTCTGAAGTCAGATTCATGGCAATCACAAGCCCAAGGACAAATGAACAGAGATGTTTGCTCACTTTATTTAATAGATTTGATCAATTAAACCTGTTTCTGGATGTGATGTCTGGCTGTCTTATTGAAGTGGCATCGCCATCTAGGGTGGATACCCAGGGTTCGTCATCTTGCGCCAAAAGGATTAAGGACATGGACATATGTGGGTGGGTTAAGGAGCAGAAAATTTAATAGGCAGAAGAAAGGAGAGAGGAGAGCAGCTCTTTCTCGGGAAACAGAGGCATATGAAAAGGGAAACGCAGCAGACCACAGCACGTTTTACAGGCGGGCTTGAGGAGGTGGAGTCTGATTTACATAGAGCTCACAGATTGGTTTGACCAGGTGTGACGTTTACATAGGGCGCTAGGAAGGCTGGTAGCCCCACCCAAATCTTATTACGCAAAAAGGATTTCCAGCCGTCATTTTGAACATGCCTAGTCCCAGGTAGTGCATTCCTATGGGTAAAACTGCTGGCCTTCACCCATGCAAGCTTCCAACTTCCTTGTCTATGTCTGCAGCTCGATTTTACAGGCTGCTCTTTGTTAGAAAAGAAAATGATTTGGGAGCTGCTTTTCATTAAAAGGAAAACCTTACCAAGGACTTCTCTACCCTCACTATCTGCCTAATAAGTATTTTCTTTTTGACTCCTATATCATTATGGTTCTCTGAGGCTGTCAAACTGAAGCTGTGGAGCAAGGCTCTGACAGCTTGTGGTTCCATGAGAGTGGAAGGCAAAGCTCTCCCATGCACATCACTTGACTCCTCTGTCTTTGGTGGAGAACACTATCACGGGGCACCCAGGAGCCTTCCATGGTCTCTGGATATCCCAACACCCAGCCGGATATCTGTGACCCTTTCCTCACTCCCAGTGCACTTTATAGACATCAGCCTGGCATCACCAGCTTCACAGCTTCCCAGAGAGCTAACAGACATTGCCTAATTGAATCCTCACTGCAGCCCATCAGGCAAGGACTATTTTCCCATAACTCCCAAGAAAAGAGGGCGGCTCAGAGAAGCCTTGTAACCAGCCCCAAATCCACAGCTAATATGTATATATTTGAACCAGATTTGTGCTTAAACCACGACCCCCTGGTACCAAAGCCTTGCTGCTTTTTTCAAGGTGAAAAATGGAGGCCCCTGGGAACCCTGGAAAACTGAGGAAAGTGGCCTTGCATGCGGTCATACACTAGGGTTCCCACATGCTGCTAGTCGTGCAGGACACTGGTGATCTGTCCCAGGCCCTCTACTTAACCCCCACCAAGACCCTACTTGCACCCCAGGTAGGGGATGTTCTGATCTTTCCTATAGAATGGGATTTTCCCAGAGCTCACCTTGTCCCCTGTGGGTCAGCCTCTGAAACCCAGCGTGGGTGAGCTGCCAGCTGCCCACCTCATAGGCCTAGGGCTGACTGAGGCCATGGGTTCGCTGTCCTGGCCTCTCTACACACTTCTGCTTTTGGCACCAGTGCTTTGGCCAGGCTGGTAGGTAAGGCTTTCCTGGGTTAAAGAGGGAACCCCCTTTTCAGGAAGTTGGGAGAAGCCGGTATTTAATAATGGAGATTATGCACTAGAAGAGGCCAAAGATCAGAAAGAGCCATGTGCTCCTGGTATAAAGAAACGCACCCCACCCATCCATCTGCAGCAGAAACATAAACACAAATGAAAACTCAAACCATAGGACACAGGTAACTGTATTTTAATGAATCAGAGTCTGGAATCCTAAGCCTCAGAAACTTTCAGGAAAGATAGACATTTGCCTGCAAGTAGATTCACTGACCCCCACATGTATCTTTATGTGTAATGAAGGTTTTATGGGAACTGAGGGGAAACAGGGAGAGAAGGGCAAATTACACTCCTAAGATAAATAGAGTTGAAGACTGAGAGCTAATCAGAAGTTCAGATGAAATTAGATTCTTGAAGGTGCTACAAAAGGTTTCTTTCTGATTTGCCATCACAGTAACCTGGAATATACAAAACAAAGCCATTAACGATGGAAAGTGGACCCAGTTTTTATGTAGACAATGAAGATCACGATGCCCTTGGAGCTGGCTTCATTCAAATGCTTCTTTTTTTTTTTTTTTTTTTTAAGTGGGAGACTTGCTCTGTTGCCTAGGCCAGAGTGCAATGGTGTGATCTCAGCTCACTGCAACCTCTGCCTCCTGGGTTCAAGTGATTCTCCTGCTTCAGCCTCCCGAGTACCTGGGATTACAGGCTCCCACCACCATATTCAGCACATTTTTGTATTTTTAGTAGAGATGGGTTTCACCATGTTGGCCAGGCTGTTCTCGAACTCCTGACCTCAGGAGCCACTTGCCTCGGCTTCCCAAAGTGCTGGGATTACAGGTGCAAGCCACTGCGCCCGGTCTCAAATGCTTCTTAATTCAAATGCATCAGCAGATCGCAACCCTTAAGGTTAGAGGTGGTTGTAATTCATAAACACCTTCAAGGCCATTTCTGAAACCCACTGAATTTCTCTGGACATAATGGGGGTGGAGAGAATAAGACCTGCTGGATGAACAGGACTTCCTTTGATATTTCTTTTAAGTCAGTCTTAGTGCATTTCAAAGTGTCGGGGGCCCCTCCTCTGATTTCAGGGAGTGGGGTCTAAGGCAGCCTGATCTGGGACACACTGGCGATGGGTTTATAAAGTGTTTCCATGTCTTATGTCATGTGTCACCAGATGGTGTGGCCCAAGGGACTTCAGAGTCACAGAACTCTAGGTTTGCATCCAACTAAGCCACATATCAAAGATTTAGGGCAACTTTTTTCATCGCTGTCAGCCTATTTTCTCATCTGTATAATGCACATAATCTACTTCCTAAGGTACCCTGCTGTGGTGGAATCCTTGCCGGCCCTACATTTAATCCACCCCCAGGGGGAAGCTTCAAAATCAATTTGATTTTGGTCTGAGTTCTCATTTGTTTGGTGTAGTGGGTCAGTTCATGACCATCTGAAATGCTCCATTTTATTTAATTTTTTTTTTTTTTTTAGGCGGAATCTTGCTCTGTCGCCCAGGCTGGAGTGCAGTGGCACGATCTCAACTCACTGCAGCCTCTGCCTCCTGGATTGAAGTCATTCTCCTGCCTCAGCCTCCTGAGTAGTTGGGATTATAGGTGCCCGCCACCATGCCCAGTTAATTTTTGTATTTTTAGTAGAGATGGGGTTTTGTCATGTTGGCCAGGCTGGTCTCAAACTCCTGACCTCAAGTGATCTGCCTGCCTCAGCCTCCCAAAGTGCTGGGATTACAGGTGTGAGCCACCACGCCTGGCCCATTTTGTTAATTTTTTTCTACATTTTACCATTATTCTATTTGGATTTTGAAACCCAGTAGCCCATAGAAGTGAGTGAGTGTCCATTCAAACAAAATGGGCTCTTCCTCCACAATGTTTCTGGTTTTTAAATCAAGATCAGTTAAGGGTAATATCTCCTAAAAGATCCTATGGTTGTTTCAGAGAATCTCGGAAAACCCAAGCGAGAAAACCTAGCTAGTCAATGCAATGGGTATTTGGTTTCATACAGAAAAAAGACTGTGTCTTGAAATCATTCCCTTTGGAGCTTACTATGTTGATGCTGTGGAGTTTTTACATCCATGGCCACATAAGCTGCCCACTTGTTTACTGGGCAACTCAATCCCAAACAATCTGAATTCAGTCAAAATGTTTTTTGGGGGCAGCATAGCCAGGGGTGATCACAGAAATGACCTGAGGAAGCAGAAGAAAAGGAAAAGAGTGCCCACTGCAGTGTTAGTGCCGGGGAACTGGACAAAGGCCTTGCCCATGCCTGCACGAGCCCTGTGAGGAGGCCAGTGAAAAATCTGGCCAAGAAGGATCAGGATTTGGCCTCAGAAAGGGGCTCCCAAGACCCCGTGTTTTCTCCAGGATACAGATGAAATGAATTTCACTAGCACGTGGGCCGAAACTCCAAACCGACTACCCTGCAGGGAGAGCCAGGAGGCACCCTGCTCCCGACTCACCGTTGTGGACGATCAGCCTGTACTGCCTGGCCAGGCACAGCTCCTCCTGCCGCTGCCTTATGATCCTCTGTGCTTCCGGGGGCAGGCCGTTGGGGTCACGGGAAAACACGAAGGAGTAGCTGTCAGCACAGGTGCCGTCGAGGTTCAGGAGGCGGCAGGAGTACTGCACGGCGTACGTGTCGTAGTCCGTGTCGACGATCCAGTGGTCATCATCTGCAAGCCAGAAAGCCACCGTGCCCATCAATGCCTCTCCCTCAGGGGCTCAGATGTCAGAGAAACTCATGACAAGCCTGAGAACACAGTGATTCCAGAAGCTGGTTTTATTTCCTTAGGAAGCAGGACACTTCAGAGAATTCTGACAGCTTTCACACAATTCGGCAAAACGGAAAGGATCTTATTCTCCTTTATTGAAGAAAATCTGGGAGTCAGGGAAGCCTCATTCACCTCAATAATCATCGCTCCCTGTGACTATGTCACTGTAAATGTGACAGCATTTT